CAGTCTAACAATCCGATATCAGAATAAAGTATTAAGGAACATCGTTAACGCTCCATGGTACTTTTAAGAAACTGTGATCTTCATCGAGACCCTCCAGATGGATACAGTTATCCCAGACAATAAGTAAGTTTGCGAGAGTCATGACAAAAGCTCTCCAACCCACGTGAACGTCGAGGACCATCACCAACTCCTAACACAACGCCAACCAGATAAGAAGGACCAAAGAGACAGAAGCCGTTTGATTTAGTGCTATGAGTGACAGTGTAAAAAGCGGAGGTAAAGTGCGGCTAAAGTGTACACGTTAGCTAGTAGTACTATAATGTATTAGAGCCTAAGGAATATGCTGAATATAACCTTAGATAAGTTTCTTGTAATATTTATATATAGAAACTAACTTGCTTATTGATCATCGTGAATGATAAGATAGCAATAGTCATAAGATTCCTGTTGGAGATTTATTAAACAAAAAAAAATTAAACAGTTATGAATATGTTCTTCCCATGTTAATTTGGTATCAAGTGTGACGCCGAGATATAGTATAGTCTTTTTGGATAGGTATACTTAGATTATCATTTCTTATACTGGATATATTCGATACACGATGAAGAGTAAACACCACCACAGCGGGATTATTCGAAGTAAGTTTCCAACCCTGGTTAAAAGTAAGGTTAAGTATTCTCTTGCACTGTACATAATCAGTTTTTATTGAATCAATGTATTCCTGATAAGAATTTTTAGTAGTAGTGCAAAGACAGAAATCATCGGCGTATTGTAAAATACGGCAATTAATACCCATACCATATAGATCCATAGTACATAGATTAAACAACCTAGGGATAAGCACAGACCCCTGCGGCAAACCTTGATAAACTAACCTTGCACCAATCAATTTACTATTGCACTGAATAAATACTTGTCTATTAACAAATAGATTAACCACTACCATGATGACCAGACATTACTTAAGAGAATCACTATAGAGAGATAGAGATAGAGAGGGATAGAGAGGATAACTAGAGATAGCATCTTATAATTTGCATTACTTTACAATCCTTTGAATCCCATCTCTAAATAGCACTAAAAATTTTATTTGTAGTATTTTAATTTATAATATTTCTTTTTAGGATATTAAGACATTTTTAGATTCAGCGGTCGAAGGTTTAATATATTTCAGCTTAGGCACTAACGTAAGGAGTAGAAATATTCAACAGAATAGTTTAAACACATTTTTGAATGTATTCAGACGTCTACCCTTTAAAATTCTGTGGAAATTAGACGCTGATATCCCAGATATACCTACTAATGTTAAAAATTATTAAGATGGGTGCCCCAACAAGATGTTTTAAGTAAGTAATTACTATTGGTTTTATTCTAAGTAATGACATATGAATACACAAATGAATTGTTTTTAATTTTCTAAAATAAGGACCCACTAACAATTTTATTCTATATTTATAAATTTTATAGAACATAAAAATGTAAAGTTATTTATAACCCAATGTGGAGCTCAATCCCATGGAAGAATCCATACTTGCAGAAGTACCCCTTTTGGCCATACCGTTTGTTAGCGATCAAAAAATGAATTCTCAAAAAATCGTTAACAGAGGATTGGGTATAGAAATTGACAGAACAACTATGACAGATCAGATTTTGTATGAATCCATCATGGAACTGATAAATAACGAAAGGTAAAATAAATAATAACCTCAATATAATATTCAATAATTAAACGAATAGACATATAATACACGATAGACTGATCGTTGCAATACTGGCCCGGTCTCCCAGTTAAGACAGAGCAAGCTGTCGCCAAGCATTCCTTGCATCTAGTTTGCCAGGTTTGTCGACCACGTGACCTAAATGACCAATGGGAAGGTCATGTGGTCCATAAATCCGACCCCCCAAACACAATCATACGACCTATATTCGCACATGAAATTCCTAATCCACTTCACATCCATGATCCTATTTAATCTCCTCCCTGAAAATTGGAATGACACAATCCGTTATTTAAACCAAATGTCCAATTGACTGTATGCCGGGTATGCCGTCTCTACCTGCTACTATAACAATTCCGTAAACCAAAGCTTCATTCAACTCCGCAACATAAACACATAAATACAACACACACACATTCATTCATACATACACTTATCATTTACTCACACATACACTTTACCATTCAAACAAGCTCACAAACCAATAAACATACAAACGCCAAAACAAGAAACAAATAAACAACACAGAACCAATATCGGTACAAACCAAACACACCAAACACAAAACAGTAAGTACCCCGTACACTCGTTAAAGGTCGATTCAGACACATCAGTCCCGTCACAGTCTCGGCGCCGAACCGGTCCTGTTTGGTCTCAGAACTATTAATTATCTGACAGCTGGGAAACTGCATAAATACCAGCTACTGCAGCTTCTTATAGAGGGGAAGGTAGAAGGAAAACGTGGTCCTGGTAGACGGCAGGCGTCCTGGTTGAAGAACATTCGTGAGTGGACTGGTTTGGATTCTCAATATTTAATAAGAAAAGCCAGGGACAGAAATGATTTTGCTGAGGTTATCGCCAACCTTCATTGAAGACGGCATCCAAAAAAGAAGAAGGGAAACTGTTGGTCACCTGATGAATGTGAATGCCGGCGCCATATTTATATTAAAGAATATTTTGTATGACGGATTGTTCGATTCGGCGCCAGGACTGTGACGAGACGTGACTGATGTGTCTGAATCGACCTTAAGAGTCCGATTCAAAATCACAAGGACAGGGGGAGATTGGTTTCTGTGGTTAACCAATTTCATTGCACAACAATACCTGATTCTAGGTAAGGACATAGCCACAGCTATCATCTACGTGTTTAAAGCGAACAAAACAAAAAGGCCAATAATCTGAAAAGGACCGTTTTTCCAATGGAACCTGTAGTTAGTAGCGGGCTTGGTTCTACCGGCATTCTCAAGGATAGGAAATCCTTCTGAAATTACTGCTTTGTATCCATCACGTAGCCTGGGAAGAACAGCAACATACACACATTGATGTTTCCCTTAACAAATCCCATGCATGAAGAGGCAACAAAGCCTAAACAAGGTTAAAACATGGTCTCACTCTTGTCAGTATTCTCTGTCGCACTGGGGGAACGCGACTGTAGCAGTCAGTATATCTTTTGGTATATGTCTATGATTAAACGTTACACATTGTTGTGTCAAACTTATTATGTTTAATAGTTAATATTATCCTTTTTTTAAATAAATTGATGTTTGTTTTAGTTACAAGAAAAGAGTCAAAAAAACAGCAATGCTTCTTAAAGATGAACCAATGTCTGGTTTAGAGAAGGCAATATGGTGGATCGAATACGTCATCAGACACAAAGGAGCAAAACATCTTTGGCATCCAAACTTAGATTTACCGCTTTACAAGTATTTTTTATTAGATGTTTTTGGATTTCTGTTGTTAGTCATTTTTGTCTTAAGTTATATGATATACATGGTCTGTAACTTTTTAAGAAAAAAGTTCGTAAGCAGCAGTAAAGTTGTTGTGAAAGCCAAAAAATGTTAATTGTCTAATATAAACGTCGTTAAGTATTCAGACAATCGAAATTAAATCTTATTAAATGAAAGATATATATTTTATTTGCCACTTTGGAAGAATGTGACTAGTAAACCCCTTGCAAATAGCGTGCTTACCAGTAGAAACCCCAAAAAATAAAAAAATGGTCAAAGTATAAACTAAGAATATCGAAGTGGATAGTATCCATAGTACAACCTCACATAGCATGGAAACTGGTACAATTAAAACGGGGAGAGTGTTACTATAACTAATACACTATGATATTCAAATCTTAAATTATTAAAAAAAGAACAAAAAGCGATAAATTACTCAATGTTACACCAGAAGCTATTTGTAACTCGAATAAACTGCTAGACAGAAAAATTATAAGTGTTAGAGAGAGAACGATAGAAATGCATAAGGGAATTATATCAAGGCTATAGACTATTAAATTCCTCTGTGAACAGGTAAGTGGAGAATAGGATAATAAGATCCATAAAACCAGTTTTAACTGATGTAATTCAAGAAGCAGGAAGATCTACGCCAGGAACTCATAAGACTGCTGTAGTTTGAAGTCGGCGGGAATTAAATTGTTTGAATTTCCGGGATAAGCAATCCACCGGGCAATCGGCCCGAAGCCGTTGGACTGGTAATGAGCTGGTAAGTGGAAAGACACTATATTGTCCTGAGATTGAGAAATTGGTCTCGAAGGCAGAAGAACCAAGAATGTGGTCAACGGCATCAGAATGAAGAAGTCAATGAGAAACTACTGCATTAAAGGTCCCTGATGACATCTTTAGTACAGCTATTATGGCAAACACAAGTAAAGTGGAAACAACTACTAATCATAGAATACGGAAGCCAAGATTCGGCAGGGGAGGTGATCCACCTCTAGATCACTCCAGAATATACGTGAAACCTTTATCAAGATCAGAGACGAACATCTAATAGATGGGCCAAAGAATTATTTAAAAAGACAGTGTGAAGAGAAAAAGTTGTTGGAACAAAACACGATACTATTTAATATGCATAAAAAGGTAAAATAAGCAGCAGGTTTTCAAAAATAAAACACAGCTAGCAAACTGCAAGATCAACAGGGAAACATCATCATAGATAAAAATCAAGAAATATGCATATGGGTCAAATACATGAATACAAAAACTCTTTGATGATAATAGGTCCGAACAACCTCGTCCTACATATGTAAGTGACCACTTACCAGTCACGTCAGATGAAGTGGAAAAAGCAATATCACACAACTAAAAGATGACAAAGCTACTGGACTTGACAATGCATATGCTGAACTCATAAAGCTATTTAACACCGACGGTACTCTAACGACTAACAAAATATTCAATGACATATATTTAACCGGAGTAATACCAAGATCTATGGCTGAAGTCAACGTTTATTGCTCTACAAAGAAAACAAAATCCTATCATGCAATGATTTCCAGATCATAGCTTAATGAGTCACATTTTAAAGTTATTTCTAAAAATCATACATCAAAGGATAATATAGACTATGCGAATAAAAAATTAGCCGTACACAGTTTGGTTTCGGAACGCAGTGGGTACGATAGAGGCTCTCTTTAGCATACAAGTGCTATTTCAACGATGTAGAGATGTGAATTGCGATATTTATGCATGCTTCATTGATTATCCAAAAGCATTTGATACAGTAAAACACGACAAGCTGATAAGATATTAATAAATATTGGAATAAACACCTGTGATCTAGAATTATTAGCAATCTTCACTGGAATAAAACATCGTCTATCCATACAACGGCAGGAGAATTCGACATTATTAAAATGAAACGTGGGATCCGACAGGGATGTATACTATCACCCTTGCAGTTTAACGTATACTCTGAGGAAATCTTTCAAGAAGCAGAAGAAGATGTTGAAGTCGTAATTCGAATTAACGGAGAATGTATCAATATCATCAGATACGTGGATGACACGGTGAATAACAAGATGCATTTTCACTAAACATTAAGAAAACAAAATGTATGATGATATCTAAGAATGGAGCAGTACATTGAAAGAATCAGGGTGAATGGTCAACCAATAGAAACAGTGGAAAACATACATCTACCTTGATACGAACACCAATGAAAATTGGGATCATTACTAGAAATAAAAATCTAGGATAGAGAAAGCAAGATCTGCATTTCAAAAAATGGCTAAGCTATTCAAATGCCGCAATATATCAGTATCCATAAAAATCAGGTTACTACGATATTATATCTTTCCTATAACGACCACTTCAGAGATGCCGCGATGTCAGTTGTGATGTCTATATTTGTTTTATTAGCTACGCCAAGGCATTTGACCGTTGTCAGCACCAGAAGATGGTCACCGCACTACAAAGAGTAGGATTGGATACGAAGGACATTCGGATCATCATGAATTTATACTGGAACCAGCGTGCTCAAGTCAAGGTCGAAGACTAGCTGACCGACCAAGTAAAGATCATGCGAGGAGTAAGGCAAGGATATACTCTGAGGAGATTGTTAATCAAGCCCTCACAAACCTAGACATTGGATTCCGAATGAACGGTGAATACATCAATAATATCCGCTACGCCGATGACACTGTGTTACTAGCAACCAGCCTAAACGATCTACAGGCCTTACTAGACCGAGTGCGATCTGTGAGCGTAACATACTGACTGAACCTCAATATTAAGAAAACTAAATTCATGGTTGTCAGCCGTACAAATTTAGATCCCGGGGCACTAATGGCAGGTAGCGAAGAGATCCAGAGAGTAGACAGATTAACTTACCTCGGAACTACCCTCAACGTACAATGGGGACTACGCTCAAGAGATTAGATCCAGAATTGAAATGGCACGGTCTACATTTATCAAGTTGAGATCCTTGCTGTGCTGCAGTGATCTCAGTTTGGGAACCAAGATGCGGATAGTGAGGTGCTACGTTATTCCAGTGTTACCATATGGAGTTGATGCTGGACACTGACACAAGCCCCTGAAAAACAAATCGAAGCCTTCGAGATGTGGATATACAGAAGGATACTAAAAATATCTTATGTGGACCACGTCACCAACGTTTAATTTAATTAAACAACGTAAGCTTGAGTACCTCGACCACGTGATGCAGAACGAAGAAAAATATCGAATTCTTCAACTCGTTATTGCAGAGTAAAGTATTTGGCAGAAGTGGACCGGGACGCTGTCATATCTCGTGGTTGAAAAATCTCCCGACAATGGTTTGGGATGACCTCAGCGGAGATGTTTCGCAGAGCAGTCAACAAAACCATGATAGCCTTGATGATCGCCAATATCCGGACCGGATAATGCACTGAAGAAGAAGATAACGACCACGTTACTAACCAGGAACTTTTAATAAAAATGCAAAAAGCCTGTTTTTATTGTTAAACCACAATAAATAAAATTTATTGTTAACCACAATAAAAACAGCCAAAGTCGAATACCTCGGTCACATCATGAGTAATAGCGAAAGATATCGGTTGCTGCAATTAATTCTTCAAGGAAAAGTAGAAGCAAAATGAGGACCAGGAAAGCGAAGAATTTTCTGGCTGAAAAATCTAGGTACGTGGTTCAACACAACAACCACAAATCTCTTCAGAGCAGCAGTTTGTAAAATACAGATTGCCATGATGGTCGCCAACATCCGAAATGGATAGGCACTAGATGAAGAAGAAGTTTAAAGTGCTTTCTTCATATGATATCAAAGAATCTCGATAGGGGATAGATCAGGACTGCTTTAGGATCATTTAAAAACAGGAATATTTATTTCCTGCAACCATATTGTGACGGATTTCGCTGTATCGTACACTACGTCATATTGTGAAAATATAAATCCCCATTTGGCAGTTGAATTTTATTAATGAAAGGCAATCATTCCTTAAATTTCTCATATTCCTCACACTTAGAATCATTGCTCCAGATAACTGAATTCCATTTATGTTAAAACTAGTTTTGGTGCTGTTTTGTCTAGAAAAATCCGTGTTTTTTGGCTTTTTTTGTAAGAAGTAGTTTTTCCTTTGGTGAAATAAGTTACATGCGAACTCTGAAGAAGAATAAACCTCGCATGGGCAGCCTACGGAAAATGCAAAGACATCTTTAAAAGCGATATACCTAATTTCTTTAAAACGTAAAACATTTGACCAATGTGTGTTGCCTGTGTTGACCTATGGTGCCGAAACTTTTACATTGACAGCTACAAGTTCTAAAACGCTGCAAATAGCTCAAAAAAAATGGAAAGGTCAATGCTGAGTATATCGCTTCGTGACCGAGTTAAAGATGAAGACTTAAGACAAACAACAGGAGTTACTAATGTAATTTCCCGAATTGCCACACTGAAATGTAACTGGACCGGACACATCGCCTAATCAGTGATGAAAGGTGTAATATATGCCTCTTTAGGACTGTGGATATAATATTACATAGAGCTATTTACGATAGTTTTATTTTTCTAAAACACATTTCAAATTTTTATCATGTTCACTTTTAGAACATCCAAAAACTAAAATATCATCAAAATACGTTATTATCCTGATACACTATCTAAAAGTTCAGACATATATTTCTGAAAAATTTCAGGTGAACAGGAAGGCCACATGGTAATATCAGATATCTATACCGACCAACAGGTGTACTAAAGTAATAAAGTGAACTTTATATTCATATTCAAGGCAACTGAAGTAAAAGCAGACTGTATGATTCATTATGTCAAACAACTTAGCTCTGGAAGCTTAGCAAATAAAGTATCTTGAGTAGGAATTGGAAACCTTTGAGTCCCACTTTATCTAGTGATGCAGTCCCACTTATGAATGGCACTGCATCACTAGATAAGTTATATAATAAGTTATATTTAAAGATAAAGTTATATTAAAATACCTGTTTACCTTTCCTACACCTGAAAAAATGCTCCTATAACTATTTATAATATGATTTATTTCATTGTCTATCATACTAACATAGGCTGATCACAAACAATTTAAAAGTATCTTAAATATAGAACAGACAATCTTGAAATGTGTTCTTAAAAGAGCAAGGTATATAAATTTTACCAACAACA